GCAGGAATGGTCCAAAGACAGTTATTCTCAAGAGCTTTGGTTAAATTTGGTCTCCAACTCAAACCCCTGGCTCTTGCCAGATCCTGGCTGCTACGTATGTCGCTCTGGGCTTAGATCCTGGCAACAGTTGTACATGCCTTTAATTACTCCTGGGAATAGCACATCTTTTTTATACAGTCAAGCACCTAGCACATGCACTTGCAAGATGAGACACAGGCAGGAAAAAAACCTCAACATCTACAGCATAATTGGAAATTCAGGGCCCATGATCTCAGTTCACTGCTAAATCAGGCATCCCTAATGTCAATATCAATTTCAGCACAATTCAATTATAAGATTTTTATTAATTAAACTTCTCCTAGCAGCTTGGCATGAGCTTCTGATAAAGATCCTGTATAGCAGCCGACTGGAAAAATCTCAAGCATTGTCAGATTACCGGGTACATTTGTGTACCAGTTTAAGGACTCTTGCCTGTTATCCTTGCCAGAAGACTGCTCTTTGCCTATGATAACAGCTGTTTTGCCTGCAATTTATTTGCTGTTTCCAGCACTCTGACAGCCTGGGTAGCTAGAAAGGGGGCAGCACAGCAAACCTAATGGGAGCTCACTGCGCAGAACTGCGTTCAGGGTCCTGCCGTCTGCTGCTTCCAGGCATTTCATGCATCGGAGGAGTGGAGCTCTCCGTACTTCCTATGCTCCTACGATCCTGGCAGCGAAGCTCATCTTCAACAGCCCCTGTCGACAGGCAGTAATTCATAACACCATGGAGAACATGCACGCTCTCCTTCTAACTGCTGCTGTTTGCTTTCTCTGTCAAGGTGAGTGATCCTTAATTTGTTTATTCTTTCTTGGTCAAGGCGGGGAGGGGGTTGAAAAGGTGAGCAGGAGATGGCTTTGGTGCAAATTATTTTTGAGACGTGCTGAAGCTCACTCCAAACTAATGGATAAATAGACAGAATCCTAATACAATTCCTTTTATTACGTAGTTTGTTGTTGGGATTTTTTTTTAAATTTCTCCTTGTAAAGTAGTTAAGTAGTGCTGATTCAAGATGCCAAACAGGACACACAAAGCCATTTTAACATTAAGAAAAGAAAGCACCTTACATGTAAAGGTGTGGGTTTACATACTGTAGAGAAGACCACAAGAAAGTGACAATATTAAACAGCTTTAAATATGAGCTGGAAACAGTGTACTTTCTCTCTGCAGATATGGAAAGCACCAAAATATTTAAATAAAAAAGACAACATTAATGTACTTCTTTAGATAGGGTGGATGCTAGATTTAATTAGAGTGCTGGTAACATGAAAAAGGCTGGCATTTTGCGATTGACTATAACAGAGAGTCATTAAGATCTACCTTTAAACTAATTTTCTTAAAAGATTTAGGAGGATTTATTCCAGGAAACCTTGATCTAAGAGATATGAGATATCAATAAATAATAAGGGCAAGGCTAGCAGTTAAAAAGTGTGAAAGAAATGTGTTCGTTTTTTAATTAGCAAGTTGGATTGAATCATTTCATTAATCTGAAAATGAAATTGCCCTCCAAGTGAACAGGAGAAGGGGAAAGGGGGAAAAAAAGAAGAAAAGAAAAAAAAATTTAGCTGAATACAGTTGCACAGGAGGAGGACTGTCTTGTCCTAGGGAGATGAGAGCTCTTAGAAAGATCAGAAAGTAACACTGGCTTTGTGAAACACTACAGATCAGTCACCTGCACATACTTCTGCCTCCCATCTCTTTCTCTACTGAAAAACAACTATCTGGCAAAAAATAAACATGTCCTTGCAAATATCTGTAGATTCATATTTCTGTTTCAAAGGAACTGTAGAGTATGTTCAACGGACTTCAGTTCTAAGGCTTTGCCAGATTCACATAGTGTCATCCACAAATGACAAGACAGGCCTTTTTTTCTTTTTCAGTTGGAGTGCTTGAGGATATGCTGTCCAAAAGAGAGTTTATGAAAGAGTCCCTAAAAATAAAAGGCCATTGGCTTTTAAATAGCGTCCAGCTGTCAGGATGGTTATTGCCTAGCTAGCTCCGGGAGTAAAAATGTAGTGTGAAATACAGGCACTCAAACTTCATCCCGAGACAGTTGAAAGACCTTGTTTAAGAATTTCAGTTTGCAGCTTTTCTGTTGGCCACAAGGCACCATGAACAGCAGTTGTCAGTGGCAAAATGGACAAGAGGAATATATTATAAATAAAAATTACTTAGAATAATAGATGGGTAAGTAGCACAGTATTTTGAATGTGCTGGGAAGTCTTTGGATATCGTGGTTAATCAATTTTTAAGCTTTTTTTTCGTATTTTAACAAGCAGACTGTTATCATCACTATAATCACGCAATCATGACTCAGGCTAGAAAGCAGAGTTTGCATTTCCTGGGAATCCTACTGCAAAACGCTCCCACAGCTTACAAGTGGCCTGGTCTGTCAGGTTACACTTTTCCCTTCCTCTGCCCCACACCCCTGCAGCTTTGGCAGGTCGAGGGGACTAGGCCTGCGAGGGCAAAGTGCTTTTGCCCCTGCAGTTCTTCAGTAGCTCCCCAAAACTATTTTTTTAATCCACTTGCTGAGACATACGGGAGAAAACAACTGTCACAGTTGCCTTTCATCGCTTTTCTTCTCCCAGCCTAAGCCAAGGCCAGTCACGACACGCTACTCCCCACTTAGGAGAGGCTTGGCCTTTCCCCAGGCACCGCTGGGGTGCTAAGCGGTCAGTACGCGGCCAGACGGGGCCCGGCCGCGGCACCGAGCCCCGCTCCGCCCGAGCGTCCCCGCACGGGGTGCCGGAGG